TTTTTTTTTCAAATTTCCTCACCTTTCCAACAAAAAAAAGACACTACTTGTAGTCAGGGCACTGATCAGGAAGTCTGTAATTTTAAGAGCTGTCTCAATTGCAAAATCCATCCAGTGCATTGGAAAGTTTGCTCCCTGAAAAATCCCACAATGAACTGATGCCCACTATGCTCCCTTATCGGAAATTAAGTCACAGTGCTAATACCTAAAATCACGCAGCTTGTTGAAAAGGTGTGCTCTTGATTTATTATTTTCACTTAAAGGGCTAAAAAAGAAGTGAAAGTCCTAATCCAAATCATATCTATAGACCATAATATCACTGGACTTGGGGTTACGCTCTATTGATTTGTGCCATTAAACAACCATGCAGAGCACATTAGCATTCTATTAAGTCTATATTAAATCTAATGTGAAAACATAAAAAAACATATATACAGTACATATGTAATGTAACATATATAATAAAACATATACAGTATAATAAAAACAATTAATAAATGAAAGCAATGCAAATGTATACTAGTGACTCATGTTATCAGAAGTTCACCTAGTGTTTTTGTTCACACAGTGGATATTTGACTCCTGCACTGGAGCTCTCCTGCTGTACGTTCATCAGAGACTGATTTAAATGTAAAACCTCAGGTTGAGCTCTGGATAACAGTGTCAAAAGAGGGTAGGATTTGTATTATCCCTCTTTTAAAATAGCAAAGGACACTAAAGAAACGTCTCTTGTGGAATGAAAGACTGTAACGTAATCGGAATTTAATTCCTTTCAAGTTTTGCCTCTTTTTTTCCCGCCTGGACTCTCAGAGGTTCTGGTTTCATTTCTCACTGCATTTCTGAGCCTTCAAAGCTCTTGTTTCTATCTTTTTGCTCACTGAGTCAGCAAAAGCATTGCCAGTACATAACAGCAGCACATCAGCTCTTTCACACACACACACACACAGGAGGCTGAGACCTCAGTGGCTCTCGTTCCACTTTTATTTTCCATTTGAAAAAGAATTCTTGCTGCATATGTACATTATACACTTCTGATATTTACATCATAGCAGATTTTTTTTCTAGATCAGTCTGCAAATACATCGAATATTCATGAAGCTGTACATTCCAAAATATTTGCAAGAAACGAACCGCTTCCGCAGCTTATTCAAACCTTGAATATTTTCGCACCAAATACTCAAATCTTAATTTTTATTTTCTTCACAGCGTCTTGATTGTAGTCTCATTCTGGTGAGTAATTATCCTTATGCAACTAAAGCAAAGGTTTATACCATATCCCAACCAGCAGATTTCCAGCAAAAAGCTAAATTGCTGTATGTTGCGACACAATTACCCAGTCATAATTTTTTTATGTTTAAAAGAGTGCTGCAGGAATTATGTATTTTTATAGGCCAGCCTGAAAGTCAGCACCACCCTGGAACCCTCAGCAAAAACCCAATAGGATTTTTCCATTGGCTTTTGGATTATTGCAGAAAATAAGCTCTGTGACCAACAAAGGTTTATGATTCTTACATGTTTTGTTCTTCATGATGTGTTAATTACAAAATATAAATACAATCATCAAAATTAACCATGTTGAAAAAAAAAATACTGGTTGGCTGGTCTTAGCTAGTTTAAGCTGGTCAAGCTATACACCACAGTCACATGATTCCAGTGCTACCACCATTAAACCTCAGACTCTTTCAGTCTTCATTGAAAAAAACATGTTCCCCGAAAAAACAAACAATGGAACTGTAAGTGAAAAATGCTAACTTGTTTCCAGGTTTTAGGACTCATTTTTGCAGCACTCAGTGTACAGTTTTGAGGAGCAGGAATTTGGACAAATTAAATGTCATTGTGGGCGGGGTTACTCAGCGTGACACCACAAAAAATAGAACTCATAACACCTACAAAATGTCTCTTGTTGTGAGAAAGCGAGCAGAAACCTTTAGCAGTTTATCGCATCATGCCTGGTTAGGACACAGTGTTTGGGAAACCATAATTTGACATTAGCGCTGCTTGGTTTGTGCAAATCTTAAAAAAAGAAAAAAATGAATGAAAGAGAAAGAAATTGCAACCAGTCGGTTCCCACCTCTCTTACTCCACAGATCCATTGTCGAGGGAAGAATGGAGATGTGTTACATGGAAAAGAGAAAGTTGAAATCAGAGCGCTTTTCAGCAAAGCACCAGGGAGATAGCTACACAGCTGAGGCTCAAAGCAGAACGGGTGACCTGGGTTATTGTGGTTCAGGCTTCAGTGTTCAGTCAGGGGGATATAAAAGGGCAGCACAGCCCTTACTCTGATTGAACCAATTGCTCTGTGTAACTATCTCTCAGGTCTGTCATTCCCCCTGGGCGAAAAACACACCAGCTCAGCACTGAGAACATACAACAAGCGCCGCACGGCCAGAGAGGTGTGCGGAGGGAGGGCCAGTACATGGCGAGGGATGTGTATTAAGACTGTGTTTATTGATTTATTGGCTGCATTGATTGTCGAAGTTGTTAAATAGCTCAGAGACACAGCAGACAGACTGGATGGAGGGGGAATTCGAAAACCATGTGAATGCGAAAGCAATGTTGAATGGGGCAATGACACCCTGTTAATTTCTTATCAAACAAGCCAGATTCATGTAAACCACATTTCTGTTTTTACAAAGAATACTGTGGAATACGTAAACTTGGAAAGTGACTCAAGTTCATTCTGGCCTGAATGTTTGTAATCAATTAACGACAGAAAAAAAATCAATTCTAAATGCGAGGCTAGTCAGATTTGATTTATCTCAGTTTTGTATCCTGAGGGTTTACTTTAAATGCCATAGCACAAATATAATTAATGTTTTCTTAAAATTATCCAATGGGCTGTTTCATTTTTAATCACTGCTTGCTATTCAAGTAATGCTCTTTTCAGCTGAGACTTGGAGTCATGTGGTTTAAATTATCAGAAAGCACAACACAGACTTAAATTGCCAAATAAATAAGTGGTATTATAGAGTAGTTTTAGGCATGAATAGGTCATGCAACTGTGCTTTGCGTAATATTTAAAAGACTTACACATTGCCAGATTAATACTGAAAAAAACATTTGGCGTGCACAATATATGCTCAGGATATAACAAAATCCACTATATTCTCAGCTAACAGAGTGTATTTATGAAATCAACATGGCTTTTTTTGGTAAAAAAAATAAAGCATTTAGCATCAAGATCAATGCAGTGATCCAGAAATATCATTTCCATTGGTTCTTTAACATGAACCTGAAATGTATCCATCAGGTGAGTTGCACATTGAAAAATCTCACTTCCTTTATGATTTTTACAGGCATCTCATTTATAATATCCCATTTTGACTATAAGGACAGAGGACTTTGTTACAGCAGATGTTTGGTAACTCCCTGCTGCTCCCTCTGTCAGCATTGCTGCTACACTCATTATCATGTTGCTGTATCACTATGCTAGCGACTGCTTAAAAAAAAAAACGTGGAGGGTTAACCCAGGAATGGAGCATATGTGCAACACTTTGGATTTTTCTGAAATAAGCTTTAAGTGTGATAATGACAGTTTTACTGGCTGTGATCAACTCACATAAGAGATGGGATCACTCTTGAGGTTGTGATTAACGATGTTGCACAGTGTCAGAAATTATATAACAAATACTAGATACTGCTAAATCACTCACATACCATATCCTTGAATCCACAATCGCACAATGAAAATAATTCTGCAGTTCCGGTACTGTGAAGTTATACATACTGTGTGTAACCTTGATACTGTAATGTATATACCATGATAATGAATGATTACCATATTAATAGTCCAAGATACCTCAAAGAAAACCATGGTAGTAGGTTGGTAGATGTCTAAAAGTCTGTTTTATTACCATGTATATATACTACACAACCATTCAAAAGTATGGGGTCAATGAGATCCCCCCCCCCCCCCCCCCCCCCAAGAAGTTAATGCTTTTTAATACTAATAAAAAATAACTTTTTTCCAACAATATGCATTAAATTGATTAAATGCAACAGTAAATGCTTTTATAAATTCACAAAAGGTTTATATTTCAAATAAATGCTTTTTTATTGATCAAAAAATCCTGAAAAAATGTATCATGGTTTATACACAAATATTAAGCAGCTCAACTTTTAACATTGATAATAATAAGAAATGTTTATTGAGCATCAAATCAGCATATTATAATGATTTCTGAAGGATCATGTGACACTGAAAACTGGAGTAATGATGCTGAAAATTTAGCTTTGTCATTAAAGGAATAAATTACCTTTTAAAATATACTCAAATATATTTGGAGTTATTTTAAACTATAATAATATTTCACGACATTACTGTTTTTACAAATAAATGCAGCCTCTGTGAAAATAAGAGACTTAATTCGAAAACATTAAAAAATCTTATCGACCCAAACTTTTGAACAGTAGTGTAAGTGCACATTTAATCAAAGTGAAGAATTTGAAAAAGTACTGCATGTAGTGCATTTCTTCAAGCTAATTTATTAAAGAGGTGAGGTCCAAAAGCCTGTTGCCTGAAAATAAATGCTTTACGATTTGAAAAATGTTAAATATATGTAGTACAACTGTCATTCTGATAATATATTGCATACTATAATATTAAATATATGATATAATAATTAAAAAATGCATATAGAAGTGTAAGCTTTTGGACCCAACTATCTGAATTTTTATTAGCCACAAAACAAAACTGTATGCATAAAATTAGGCAGAAATAACTGAAGCTTTCTCATGTTAGAGGATTACTGTATCGCTAACATCTGCATTTGACTGTAGTTGTTTCTAGTCTTCAGAATCCATAAATAACCTCGGTTATCAGACTCAATTGTACTGCACTCACTGCTGGTGTGTGAGAAATAGAGAGATAAATTCAAAAATAAAACCCTCAGGGTGACGGTGGGTAAGGACACTTAACTCATCGCATGCATCATCATAGAAGACATGATTCATATAGTGACTTTTTCTGAACAAAATGAATAAAATCCTCTTTTGACAAATATAAATATATTTATATTCGGGATAATATGTACAATGACATTTGCCATCATAAACACCATTGGTATTGGGGGTTGACAGAGCAGATTAGCACTCTTGCTATGGGTATACACACTTTCGCAAAGACAGCAACGATCGATTGGCGTGTTGAAGCACGGACCGAGAGAACGATGAGGGTTGAAGGGGGCGTTCGGCTATGAGAAGGCTGGTGGTGCAGAGAGCAGCAGCGGTTTAGTCCCGAGAGCCAGGCGAGTTGCCATCCTCCTCCAGTTCCCACTGAAAGTTTTGCCCTGTCATTTGGTAGAACATCATGTTAAAGGGCTTGTAGAATTTGTGCAGTCTGCGAATGACATCGGGGTCTATTTTGGGGTGAGTTCTGCCCTTGGACTTGCCAAGGCACCGTGGGGTACTGCTGTCCTCTGGCTTCTTCAAGCAAGGGAATCCCTTGGTTTTATTAAAATAGAAATGTTTGTCAGTAACAATACGCTTGAGTCCCAGGAAATCCTGCACCTTTGCCATCTCGCCGGCCGGATCAACAATAAGCCTCTCTCCGCTGACAAAGTGCATCTGTGAGAGCGGGAAATACTGCATCCAGCTCTCCAGGTGAAGCGCATAGATCCCTATTCGCAGGGCGCTCCACGACGCGTCGATCAGGCCCAGCGTTCGGTTCTTGAAGGCCAGCACTTCGAAAGTGGGAATCTCAGGCCTCTTGGAGAGCGTCTGAGTATAGTCCGAAATGGCTCTGGTCACTGGATTGCGGACGACTATGATTAGTTTAATGTCTCTCGCCATCGAGTGGATTCGCTTCGGAGCGCTGTTTGTCACGAAGTAGCTTGGCGTCTTCTCCATTGTGATCTGGCCCTCCAGAGTAGACGGCATCAGCTCCCTGCAAACACCAGAAGCAAGAGAAGCAAATTAGTGTGAAGCAGTTAACACGATGCACATGTCTTCATTATTAAACACAATACCTAAGGACATGGTACGTGCAAAATTGATTCAACTAGTAAGTGGTAAATTATTTGAAATCACACATGAAAATAACAGTTATTATCACTGGACATAATGTCGCAAGTAGAAGTGTTCAGCTAATTACAGCCACGGAGTAACATACAAGAGATAAAAGCCCAAAGATGAAACGTGTACGTGTATGAGTGCTTGTTGCTTAATTGACTCCATCTGTGTTACTCCTGGCACTGTTTTGGAACTTTAATAACGAGTTCACTGCATATCATTAATACTGCTGAGCCAGGGGTATTGTTTTATCATACATTACACTCTGTCCCAACAAGTACAAAGACTTTTTATAAAAATGTTTTAATGTGTTCATTTTGGTTGCAATTAGGTAACCTTGCAGTATAACATTCTAGATATCACACCTAAACAATAAATGTAAGAAAAAAAAAGAAAAAAGGGGAAAAAAAATAATTTTCTTTAACCTATTTTTTTAACAACAACAACAAACTGATAGCAAGCCAACATTTCTTGAGCATTTATTTAGGTATCATAATAACAATTTGGACATTTAAATGAAATGTTTAAAGAATGAATGATTCGAAAACAGTGAAAACATATTCTAGTTGATTATTATTGAATCTTAAAAATGTATATTAATAATAAATAAATTACAAACAGACTCAAATGCAAATCTCGTCCAGGTTTTGTGAGATAAAACACTTTTAACTTACAACAAATGATTTCAATAACTTCTAAAAAGTAATGTCATAACATTTAGATGCAAGGTTTTTTATTTGTGCTGGCATTATGCTAGTTATTCAGATTTAAAATAATCATATCAGAATCATATGTTATTGACGTGATTTTTGATATTTGATATTGCCCTTTGATTTGAACACATTTTTATGATATATGTACCAGGCTAGATGTGGTAATGATGTTTATAAAACATTGCTAATTAATGTGCTAACAACAACATATGTTGCTGTAGTATTGTTAAAATATGTATACATTACATTTAAAATCTGGACATCTGTCAAAGTACGTACAGAAAATAAAAACATTACCACAACTTTTTTACAGCTTAAAAAAGGCACCCTATGCCCTTTTTCCTCTTCTTGTTCTGATTTAACGTTCAGATGCCTCACTGAAAGAACAACATATTAATTATGGCATTTTCTGTGATGAGAGATGTATGTGCTTTGAGTGATATGTCTGAGTGATAACAGTCAACTGTTTGTCACCGTATGAAGTATTGCGTTCAACCTTTTATCACCAAGATTAAACTGGTAGATGAATCGGTGTGCTAGGCAAGAGTCATTCATAAATTAAGGAAATTAAATAAATATTTATCTCTGTTTTGGGCTTATATTGCAATCTGATCCATGCCTCAGGAGTGCAAAACCAATGAATATTTAGCAAGCTCTCTGCTCTATGATCTATTCATACTGATCTATTCAGTATGATCCCTCATTAAATCTCACAACAAGAATTTGACCTAAATTTATGATTACATAATTAATTTGCATTCAGTTCTACGTAATTGAGACACTATGGTACTCATCAGTACACACACAAAAAACTAAAAATCACAGACATCAAATTTAAATTCTATACATAACGTTCACTAAAATAGCCTATAAATTAAAAAATAAATAAATAATTACAAATATTACATTATAATATTGGCAGTGTTGGGGAAGCTACTTCTTTAAGAGGCTATTTAATAGGAAGATATTTATACATTTCTAAAACACAGAACTGATAATATAATCAGATAATATAGTTTATAATTTAATTAGACAATTTATAATTTAAAAGTATTTCCCTGGCTTAAAAATAATGAGTCTTTTTGAATTAATGAATCTAGATTAGGGTGACAGCATTACATTTCATCAGGTACTAACACTAAAAATGTTAATACATATTAGTTAAAAATATTTAATTATATAAAAAAAATCAAAGACTTGAACTTTGCACTAATGGCAATGTCAAGTTGTATCGCTACTTATTAAACTAAAAGCTACAGTAGTTTCACATTGTAAATTTAGTAGTCAACAACACTGGAAAAATAGTGGTAAAACTGCAAAAGACTTTGAAGAGAGACAAAGAAAATGCATGGTTTTAAACAAACACAGTTGGTGGAAATATAATCCTTTCTGTGGCTACATGGACTTAACCACCCAATGCCAAACATAAACTTTTATTAAAGGGGTCATATGATGCTATTTTAAATATCATTATTTTGTGTATTTGGTGTAACCGGATATGTTGACATGCTTTAATGTTCAAAAAACACAATAGCCTTTGTGCACAGCACAGCCAGGTTAAAAAAACTGTCGTCCATAAAATGCGTTGCACAAATTCGAACATCTGGGTTGTGCTGTTCTGTTGTAAATAAATCTTAACCAATGATTCCTAATTGCATCTACTTCCGGAAGGCCAAATAAAGTGCTTTTGCTTTCGCCTAGAAACACACAGCGTCTCACTGACATGGCTGCATCAACACAACTGCTGTTCCTGAAACCACGCCTTCTTTCTTTGCGTGAACATTTGGGCGGCATTATGCTAATATTTCCACATAGTGACGTAGACATGTGGGGGCGAGTTAGAACGAGGCATTTTAGGAGGGCGTGGTTGACTCTTAACTTTTATAAAGAATATCTCTTTGGATTTGAGACTTTAGTCTTTGCAACTTTACAGATCTTCTTTATGCACCAAGAGCTTGTAACACTCCAAAGAGAAAGGCAAACATTGAAATCGTATCATATGACCCCTTTAAACGATTTTGGTTGAATTAAAGTGTTACAGCATGAAGGTCTTACTTTAGGGCACAACAGTAAAAAAGCAGGTCTTTAGCTGAAGCCTGGCAAAATGTTCTGCACTATTTATAATGCAATTCTTGAAATGTTTGCTTTTTTGTTGTGTTTGACCTTTTCTAGCTTTTACCGGAGCAGACAATAAATAAATAAATCCTTGTTAACCTGCCAGAAACAAAAAAATCTGAGTTTAAATACCTGGTTGCACACACTTTCCCAGAACTACAGACACATTAAACAAATAATGGAAAAGTTCACCCAAAAATGAAAATTTGAAAAACTAAAATAAAACTGTACTCACCTTCAAGCCATCCAAGATGTAGAAAAGTTTGTTTCTTCATCGGATCAGATTTGGAGAAAATCTGTTCTGATGAAGAAACAAACTCGCCTACATCTCGGATGGCATGAGGGTGAGTACATTTTCAACAAATTTTCATTTATGGGTGAACTATTCCTTTAAAAACTTTACATACCTTCACATTGAACAACATCCCTTGTGCAATCACAAACATTTGTGTGAAGTCTAGGTAAATGAAGAACATGTGTTATTAAAAAGTAATTCATTCTTACTCTTTCTCGTTCCCTTGAAACTCTCTGTAACGACTCTTATTTCCGCTCAAATTGCCACCAACTGCTACTCATTATTATTACATTTACCATACTCAACAACAAGCAATGGGTAAGAACTCAAGTTATTCATGCTTATTTTGCTAACACCATATTATCTGATAGTTTAACAAGTAGGACACTGAAGAGGTCAGACCTCCAACCTCACGGCTGATGGGCTGGATTTACTGCTATGATATTACTCCAAAAATCATATTACTCTGGGGCATTACTGATAAAAACAGCAATAACCTTTGATAAAGGAGGTTCCACATTGTAAACATCATATGAAAGAAAATCAGCTGCTTTGTTACATTCATACAATTTACAATCTGTAATTCATCATCACCAGAATGACCTGGCTAAATCATATTTAACCAACAATATATTTCAAGGTTTTGAAAATTCTTTTATTTTCTACACAACAATCTGATCACCTATAATCATATATTATTGACTTCCTGGATAACCATCTGTCAGTGTGCTTGTAGGTGATGGGGAATTAAATTTGTTTTTGAAGGGACTGTAGATACTTATATCTGAAATGATATTTCAAAAGTGTGTTCTTTCATCCTGCATTCATGTTGCAAAACCTACTGGTATTAAAAAAAAGGTTGCCAACACAGCTGAAGGTTCAAAGTGCACAGTAATGTGCAGAGGCAGCACACATTCTCACAATAGATTGGATACTGTATGTTCTGTTTCATACACTATACTGCAGCACCTCGTACAAGCTTCATTTATTATATAGATGCTGTGGGACTGTGGAACTGAAATATAAGCATTGTCCATAAAATTGTATTCAATGGAACTGTACCTCAGTTCACAGGTGAAATGTTTTTTTTGTTTTGTTGTTGCTAAAATGACAGTGTGTGTTTGTGTGTGTGAGAGTTCTTTAAAGCTGAAGTGTGCTATATATTTCAAGCTTTAAAAATGCATTTTTTGTTAAAATCCATCATAATATTTGCACATTACTTGTTACATCAGAAATTGGTTGTTCATCATGTGTTTCAATGCATTATGTTATCTAAGTATTATTACGTATTTCTGTGTATTATAATTTATTATATACAATGTGGTTACAGTTATTCATGACATCATACAACGCATTATAAGGTACATTACAAGGCATAATTGACCCTTTGCAAAGTCCTGCCCCCCTTCGTTACTGTTGCTACATCCGAAAAGCCATGGCGCTCTCATGCATCATGTTCTCGTGCGGTAAAAATACATCAGGGAGCAAAGAGGAAACTGACAATGCACCAACAGACAAAACAGTGCAGGTTCCTTTTGGTATGAAACAGGTCTCAGCTTTCAAATTTTGTCATTTTGTAAGAAATTCAAACCATAAATTTGTGGCTCTTTAATGTCTCGTGACAGATCACTGTAGCACCTCAGGAAAAGCGGCACGTGAACCGATCATCCCTTTCTTTTTACTAGTTACAGTGCAAAATAAACATGAATGAACATCAGAATGTATCTTGTTTCAGCCGCAGAAAGTTCAAGT